GCTGCCTCCTGCTGGGATCCCACTGGGGATGGAGCCTGCACTCCGGGCATGTGCCCTGACTGGGAATCGAACCCTGACCTCCTGGTTCATCGGTCAACATTCAACCGCTGAGCCACACTGGCAGGGCTAGTTTCTATCTTTTTCATGGAAAGGACTCAGAATGGAGAGACATAACTGGAGTGGAACTTAGGATTGAACCCAACAATGGCTCCTAGGCTTCCTTGTGAAACCTGGAGAGGTGGACGAGGACCTCTGCAGCTTCCTGCAAAGCCTGAGTGGTTACCCTTGACCGGAATTGAACCCAGGACCCTGCAGGCCGATGCTCTATCCACTGAGCCACACCAGTTAGGGCTATGCTTCCTCTTTTTTGCAGCGAGCCTCCCCTATCCCTTCCTACTGCCTTAGCCAGCACTCCCCTCCATGGCACGGTCCTTTTGTCTGCAATGAGGCCTTCATCAGTGCACCTGGGAGTGAGTGGTCAGGGTCTGGGACTTCTCGGAAGGCACTGACCAGGGGGCACACTGACCAGGGGGCACACTGACACAGATTCTGAGCTGGGGCTGTCTCCTCTGGCATTGATTCCTCTTCCACAAGCCGACTGGGCAGAACCCAGTAGCAAGTGAGAGGCCCGGAAGCAGATAATGCAGGAGAAGCTTCTGGAAGGACAAGTGGGTGAAACCGCCACACCCCCGCCATTCTCTAGGGCAGCGGTTCTCAACCTGTGGGTCGTGACCCCTTTGGGGGTCGAATGACCCTTTCACAGGGGTCGCCTAAGACCATCGGAAAACACATATATAATTACATATTGTTTTTGTGATTCATCACTATGCTTTAATTATGTTCAATTTGTAACAATGAAATTGGGGGTCACCACAACATGAGGAACTGTATTAAAGGGTCGCAGCATTAGGAAGGTTGAGAACCACTGCTCTAGGGGCTAAGCCTGCAGGCTCCATGAGTGCAGCGATTCCACCTCCGGTCCGTCCTGCCTCCTTCCTCCCGTCAAAAAGAGCTAACGCTTGTAAACTTCAGATTGCTGTATCATTCTGAGGTGTCATTATTAATATGACCTAAGGTGACAAGGAAACACAGCTCAGGCAAGCTGACACTCCCAGCCAGTGAGAGGCAGCACTGAACTTTAACCCAGGTCTACGAGGGCCAGCCCAGCTCTCCTAATCCGATCAGCAGGCCCAATCCCCCACAGCGTACATTACTGATGTTTAGTTGGCTTTACATGGAAAGCTAAACTGAAATTACTCTCATGATAGCTTTGAGAAGGAGCAGCCCTTGTGGAAATTTGACAGGTACAACTTCACACAATAGCTCCCTTCCAGCAGCAGGGCCTCCCACACCTCTCAACTTTATTGCGAGGACTTCCTCTCTCTGTGGGTTGGGTTGCAAGGGAAGTCTACCATCAGCTTTGTTGCAGAACAAGTTGATTGCTCTAGTCTGAGATTTGTCAAGGGAGAAGTTATGCTGAGTCAATGTGACTAAACATCTGGACACACCCGAGTTCCTATTAAATAGGCTTCTTTTAAGGCAGACGTGTAAATATCTCATCAAACAGCCAAGAATTTTTGTTCTCCTATTACTAATGTCACATGCCACACTTGGCCTTCTTCTTTCTTTGTTAAGGAGCTAACAACTGGCAACAAATACTGCTTCCCAGGATTGTTGGAAACTATAGCAACCTGCGCTCAGGAGAGCAGGGCTGGGACAAAGGCAAGCCCCCGCCCCCACCCAGAGACGGACACGGTAAAGCCAGGGCTTGCTGGAGTGAGAGCTGCAGGCTGACCTTTAGCCTTTACAAAATCCTCCAATGTTTGGCTGAGATGAATGCTTAAGAAGTCAACTCACATTACTGTTCACCTTAACCACCTTTGGCCTCACCTTAACTCCCCAAGTCCCAACTCAAAGCAGGGGCAGGAATTCCACAAAAACAGCCCTTCTCTGCAAACATCCCGGGGCTGAATCCTTTGTTGGACTTACTTAAGCGGGTGTGGAACATACTAGTTGGGGCAAATTTGAAAATCCCGACTCTGCCACTCACTTGGTGTGTAATTCCTACAACTGAACTCAAATGACTTGTTCCCATGCTCGGTGGAAAGAGCAATTTAGTACAAACCCAGAGACCATATATTCTAAAGCCAGATAAGCGTGTGTTGTGCTCAGAAAAGCTAAAAATTTAGGATTATGCAGAGACAAAGGAGTCCCTAAGGCAGTGGTCGGCAAACTCATTAGTCAACAGAGCCAAATATCAACAGTACGACGATTGAAATTTCTTTTGAGAGCCAAATTTTTTAAACTTAAACTATATAGGTAGGTACATTGTTATTAACTTAATTAGGGTACTCCTAAGGCTTAGGAAGAGCCACACTCAAAGGGCCAAAGAGCCGCATGTGGCTCGTGAGCCGCAGTTTGCGACCACAGCGGCCTAAGGGAACGTGGGGAAGCCTCTCTGCCCAACCAAAAGTGGGCTGACAAGAACACCAGCTAGAAAAGGGACCTGGGACCTCCTGACATTCTACAGCATCCATTTTGGGACATGGTGACTCACACAGAATGACCCTAAGTGAGGACCAAACCTTTGTGACCCTGGATGGGGTCTAGCTATAGAGGACAAACAGCTTCATTAAAAACTAATTCAGTTTAGGCCCTGGCCAGGTAGCTAGGTTGGTTAGAGCATCTTCCCAATATGCCAAGGTTGCAGGTTCGATCCCCAGTCAGGGACTAGAGAATCAACCAATGAATGCATACATAAGTGGAACAACAAATTGATGGCTCTCTTCCTCTCTCTCTAAAAATCAATTAAAAAGAAACAGAACTAATTCAGTTTAAACGAGAAGCCCTCTAGTTCTGAGGTCCAGTGTTAGGAAATCCATTCATCCACCCATACGAGCCACATTCTCCAATCACATTTTTTTTTTTTTATCCTCACCCGGATATTTTTCCATTGGTTTTTAGGGAGTGGAAGAGAGAGGGAAAGACAGAGAGAAATATCGACATGAGAGAAACACATCGACTGGTTGCCTCCTGCACGAGCCCAGACCAGGGTCGGGGCTGGGGAGGAGCCTGCAACCCAGGTACATGCTCTTGACTGGAATCGAACCCGGGACTCTTGGGTCTGCAGGCTGATGCTCTATCCACTGAGCCAAACTGGCTAGGGCTCCACTCACATCTTTAACAGTGAAAAAGGTGGTATTTTGATCTCCCACCTGCCTTATGCTTTTCTCGATTGCCTCTGAATTTGGGGGAAAGTGGTGTTCACTGGCTCCTTCAAACTTCCTGGACCCCCCTCAACCCCTTCGCCCTCCAATCCTGTGGTCAATGCTCTTATTTAACCTGTCGGCTGCACTGGGCAGTATCACTTCCTCCATCTTCAAACACTTAAGTGGGTGGCCAAGTGCCACTCTCTCTTCACGGGCCACTCGTCTCTGCTGGACTGGTCTCCCTCCCTGACCTCTGCCAGTCGCAGTGCTCTCAGACACAACCCCTGGTCCTCACCAGCTACCCTCCCTCGCCAGGTCTGCGCACCTGCCACCTTCATGCTGACAACTCCCACATGTGTCCCCAGCCCCAGCCTCTGCCCCCTGAACCCTAGTATATCCATTTGCCTCACCGACGACACATTCGGGTGGAAATGTTGATCTCAAAGTGAACCTGACCCAAATCCAATTCTTAATTTCGTCCCACCCCTTCAGTGTTCCCCCGTCTTCTCCACCTCAGGAGACGCCACACGGTCTCTCTGCTCAGGCACACATCCTTGGAGTCACCCTTCTCCTTTCTCTGCGGCTCCACATGCAGCCCTCAGTCAACTGTTCGCTTTAACATGAAAAGGCATCCTGACTCCGCCCACTTCTCCCCACCTCTCCTGCCTGCTCCCGCTCAGTCCACGCGATCTTCTTCGGTGGGGCGTTGGGGTAACAATGTCCTCGTTGTTACCCTTCTCCCACTTGTCCCCCAGCCTCCTCCAGTCCCCTCCCCCCTGAGCTGTTTTCCACTCTACAGTCAGCATGGTCTTTTAAAAACATACATGTGGTCATACACTGCACGACATTTAGGCCAATGACGGACGCATGTGACAGTAGTCGGCCATGCATCCTGGGTGTGTAAGTGCACGCTGCGAAGTTTGCACCGTGAAATCGCCTAATGTGGCATTTCTCGGACTGCATCCCGATCGTTAAGCGACCGTGACTATAAGATCTTGTGACTCATTTTCTCAAATCCCTTCACTGGCTTCTTACTTCTCTAAAGAATGAGACTTACCTGGGCCCTACGCCACCTGAGCCCTGGCTCCTTTCTGCCGTCAGACTCCAGTGCTCTCT